TGTGCATGCATGCACAACCCCACCTGCGCACATGTGTGCCAACCCCTTGCCCTCCCCCCTGCTTTTGGTGCATGATGGACCCATGTTTCGCTCTCTCCAGGCTCCAGGGGATTTCTAGGAGCCTGGGGAGGATGAAAACAGGCTCCTTCCCCCCGGTGGCTCTCTGGAGGCTTCAGGAGGCTTCCCTGAAGCCTCCAGAGTGCAAAGAAATAGCCTGACAGGCAAACCAGAAGTTCAGGAATGGATTTCCAGTTGGACTGTAGGACCGTTTTTTACCCTCCGGAGCCTTCAGGAGGCTTCCCTGAAGTAGCAACATAAAGGAAGCCATGTCTATCCTCTTCTCTTTACAGTGGCTAGATATCAGATACCAACCTTCTTCCCCTGCCAGTTACTACCATAATGTTTGATTCCAAGCCATTTTAAATCCTTATTTTCTCCATTTTCCTGATATAATTCTCAATCAGAGGTGGTATGTTCTCACCAATTCTGGGGAACCGGTAGTGGAAATTTTGAGTAGTCGGGAGAACCTGTAAATACCACCTATGACTGGCCCTGCCCCATCTTTTCTCTGCCTTCTGAGTCCTAGATGATTGGAAGGAAATAGGCATTTTGCAGTAATCTTACCCTAGAGCGGGGGGGGGGGAATGGAGATTTTTATAGTATCCTTCCCCTGCCTTGCCCACCAAGCCATGCCCACCAAGCCACACCACATCCACCAAGCCATGCCCACAGAACCAGTGGTAAAAAAAATTGAATCCCCCCACTGTTCTCAATGCCATCCTTTGATCATCTAATAGTCCAGATTCTTTGTCCCATGTTTGCCAAGAACATAAATTGGCTCTTCTCAGCCTAATGGTCTCCCTAGGGAGACTTTTTCAAGGAGTTAGCCTCCTTGTTGTTGTTCTTCAATTGAACTCATTGTCAGAGGTGACCTAATTTGGATTCTTTGGGGCAATGATTCTTTTACGCCTCAAAAAGGAAGCTAATTCAATCCTGAGCAAACTTTGCCAGTTCAGTCGAAGTTGTACCTGAAAGTTTGAGTTCCAGTGAAGTTTATGTAACTATAATGCAGATTATGCTAATATGAATATGGCTAATGAGCATTTTCACAAATTCTGTGAAATGAAAGACTTTTGTATGCATTTCCTCTGTATCTTTTGTATATTCACATTCACCAATAAACTCCTATGATCTTACAGTGTCCTCAAAATTGAATGACCATTACTGGACATAGAACAATTGACTGGAGCATATAGCCTTAGCTGATCTGATCAGGCAGAGCAATCTTTGAACATGTGAAAAGAAAAGAAAAGGTTCTAAGTTTTTATCTTGTAACACAGCATGAAGGTAGAAAAAAAATCTTTTGAAGATCTTGCAAATATAAAGTATATATCTATATATTCTTAGCTTCAGGGTATCGGGTGGCATTAGCATAGAAAAGCAAGCAAGGAAACTTGGCATTGAAATTTGCCAACCAACAAATGGACTGGTTTAAAAAGAGAGAGAGAAATGAACATCCATGTTTGTATGTTAACATGAATCCAAATGATATTGGCCTTATATACTTGGCAGTGTTTGGATTGACTTGTGAAAAATAATTAGATAAACATTAACACATAATTTTTGTTGGAAATTCAGCAAAAGTGTTGGGGAAAAATCCTAAATGCCATGAAAGCAGGTTTNGAGTCACTGAAGCAGTAGGCATGAGCTTAAATGGACTCCAGAGGATGGTAGAGGATAGGAAGCCTGGAGGAATGTTGTCCATGGACTTGTGATGGGTCAGACATGACTTTGCAACTAACAACAACAACAAAAATAGAATTATGCTAACAGTTTTCCTGTTTAAATTAGCTACCGCTTGAGATTTGCTGCTAGCACCTAGAACAACTTATATTAAGTTTAAAAAAACATGCAGAGTTGCTTTGCAAGGATCTCTTTAAGCTAATTATCAAATATGCTAAACACCATGATAACAATTACAACATATATTTACTACTCAAATATCTACTCTTAGATACTGTTCAATACTATATATTATTACTCATTAAATGCCCAGTGTCAAAAACAGAAATCCAATTGCTTGCCAAATGCAATATGTAACATTTGATAATCTTTCACAATCACTTGCAAATATTTAAGACAATTGCACACTCCAGTTTCTGCCACAGAGTCTTAAGGAGAGCTTTGGAAGACAATGCACTGCAGCTGCCCATCTCCTGCAGCTCAGACAAGGATGCCAACATCATTTGAAATAAAAAAGATAAGGCTTGCTATTCTTTCCCTAGGCTTGTCACAGACAGAACAGCTGGTTATGGTCCAAGAAGAAAAGTACATACGGATTTACCAACCTACTCAAAATGTGGTTTTCAGAGAGCTAAGAGAACACGACCAATGCTAGCTCAAAAGAGGTAGGCTGAACATCTATGGAGATTCTCAGTCATCCAAGTCATGGTTGTGTCAAAGGTGCTTTTTCAAAAGGCAACGGGACTTTCCTTGAAGATGTTTCATTTCTCATCCAAGAAGCTTCTTTAGAAGTGAAGCATCTTCAAGGAAGGAGAAAATCCAGTTGCCTTTTGAAAAAGCACCTTCAGGAAACTTAGCCTGTACTTGTTCCATCATGTGGATATGATCCTGACTGATCACTTCTTCAAGGGGCCAAGATTGACAAGAAAAGCTGTGAATATGCCAAGGCTGTTAATCCTGGTCTCTATATCATATCAAATATGAAGCAACATGTCCAAACCTAGTTTCTGTAGAAATGGTGGATAGCATGGCATGAATAATGAAGAATTATAGAAAAAAAGAGAATGTGTATGAGTGGGAGGAGGTGTTTGATTTTTTCCCCCCTGACACTTAAGATTTCTGTTAGAGATTGAACTGGCAATTGATTTGAGTGTTGTTAAGACTATAGAAATACATTTCAACAATTCAGCTGAACCAATACTTAAACATGCTATTACTGAAGGGGCAAAAAGGATGGCTTTCGCTGTTCATAAATGTGAAAGAGCATAATAAGCTCTTTTTTTTCCAGCAAGGGGGTTTGCCTGGGAATGTTTTCTTGCAAACAATTATCCAATACTGTACAAAATGCACCAGCTGGCTTTTGTAAGAAAATGCTGTGAAACTACTGCAGAGATAAGCAGAGCAAATATCCTTAATGCATTTCAAGCAAAACTTAAATAACACAATTGTTTAATCGCTTCTATTTGCCTGTTCTTCTTGGTTGTTTTTTTAAAGTCATTTTTGTTGATGAGCAAGTAATATTTCCCTCGCTGCTTCATTATCAGCACTGTAAATGTTAGTGAGATATTTGTGCCAAAATCTGATACATCTGTTCTGACAATATCTCCACACATACAAAGAAATAAAGAACACTACTATTTCTTTGTTACAGCTAGCCCTCACTAGAGAAAAAGTGGATGTGAGAAAATAGGCTGAAACTGACAAAATCAATCATCAATCAATCAATCAATCAATCAATCAGAATAGAGCTGGAAAAGACATTGGAGATCTTCTAGTCTAACCCCCTGCTCAAGCAGGAGACTCTGTACCATTTCAGACAAGTGACTCTCCTGTCTCTTCTTAAAAAATCTCCAGTGATTAAGCATCCACAAGTTCTGAGCTATTCCAATGGTTAATTGTTCTCACTGTTAGGAAGTTTCTCCTTAGTTCTATTTTGCTTCTCTCCTTGTTTGGTTCACAGCCATTGTTTCTTATCCTGCCTTCTGGTGCTTTGGAAAATAAGTTGACTTCCTCTTCTTTGTGGCAGCCCCTCAAATATTGGGACACTGCTATCACGTCACCCCTGGTCCTTTTTAGCACTAGACTAGATATACCCAATTCCTGCAATCATTCTTCATATATTTTAGCCTCCAGTTCCCCAATGATCTTTGTTGCTCTTCTCTACACTCTATCCAGAGTCTCAACATCTTCTTTACACTATGGTGACCAAGTGTAAGTGTAGTCTTACTAAAGCTTTGTAGTTTTGTGTGTGTGTGTGTNTGGCTCTTCGGCTTTGAAACGGAGATAAGCACTTCCCCGTAGAGTTGGGAACAGCTAGCACCTATGTGCAAGGGGACTCTTTACCTTTACCTTATCATTATCTGAAGCAAAAAGGCATACATCTCTCTTATTGCAAATATGCTATTGATATGGCTGCACCTAATTCCCCTTTGCTTTAATTATTGTTTGTTTGTTTAATGTAGTTCTATCTTGCTGCAGTCCAGGAATGTATATTCTGTCTTCCCTCCTGCCCCTAGCTAAGTGTGTTATTGAAAGTTATCAAACAGCTAAAACATGAGTGTGCACAACTTCACCACATTTGGAATTAGAAGACCAAAGAATCACATTCAATCCCTAAATTGTAAGCTAGAAACCCACTCTCAAAATATAGACAGAGTCAGTGCCAACATGTGTAAGACTTGGAATGAAACAGCATCAAACTCAGTTACCCCAAACATGTAATTCCCTCTTCATTTTATACAAATGTTTCCCCTTTATTGAGCATTACAAACCAGAAGCAATACTTGCCTAGTCTTCTAGGAAGCATGCAAGATGGCATGTGAAGCCTCAGATTATAATTCTCAGGGCAAAAGGAACAGAAGATGTTGGCAACACATTGACTGAGACTTTAGGCAAACTGCACTGAATAAATCTTTCTTATCAATTCATTTCCCCCAGTGATGTGCCTGTTGACTATTACCATTTTGAGGCTTTGGTTGGCTGAATGAGTCATTAAAAGAGTCTAGCGCAATAGAATTACAACATTAGAAGATGAAACAGAAAAGGGAAAATTGGGCTGTCAAAATGTTAAATGAAAAAAAACTCAAAATGCTTCATGACCGACACACCATTTCAGTAAAGATCACCTCTGCAAGCTAAAATCAGTTTCAAGGCAGGGAGAACAAACAATATCACAACAATAATCTACAAAGTCGCAGGGGTTTTCTTTTCTCTTATTTTGCTTAACAGACTGCTAAAATAGTATGTGACAGTTGAGAGTTAAAGTCTATAATTTGGTTTTGGTAGGAAACATAATGGCTCAGAAAGTGTATGGTGTACAAGTGTGCGAGCCCATTCCAAAATGACTATANCGAACCGGTTGAAACCCACCCCTGGGATGCTGCAACAGTTGTAAGTGGGTAACTCAGTACTAAGCCTCTTTTTTCCATGCCATTGTAACTTCAAATAGTCCCTAAACAAAGGATTGTCCATCAAGGACTATCTGTAACCTTTTCTTTCTATAATCAACCTTTTCTAATTACCAAAACCACACGCCATAAGTTTTTTTTCCCAGAAAAAAAGGCTGTGAGGGGTTTCTATTCACCAATAAATATAGCTGTTATCTTTTTCTCTACTCAAAGAAGTCAATTAAACCGTCGTTGAAAATTTCATCTTTTTCGCCAACCATTCTTCCATTGTGGATAATGTCGAACCTTTCCATCAGTATGCATACAATAATCCTGCTGCAGTTATCATATGCAAAAACAAATTTTATAAACTTTTCCCAATTGTTTGTTCATCAATTTCTCTCCCACCACAAAAAAACAACAACAACACCTGGACCTGCAAAATACAACGTGCAGACACTTGTTTTACCGAGCTTTTCACTCTTAGCTTTTTCACTTCCTCTATCATCTTTACAATTCTTTCATCCATTCTTTTTTGAAAAGCTGTCAATTTAGTATTAAATAATTTAGCTAACATGCTTCAAACATTTTCTGAAGCAAATCTGGTGCAATTTCTTTCTCTGTAGGTTGTTCTAACAATCCTTTATTCTTGCTGGTTTTTTGATGGTTGCCATTACGACATTCTAATCCAAAAATGAAAATATCTCAAACAAGGAAAAAATAAAAGGCAAGCTTCCTCCCCCACCCCCCTCTTTTGTCTTCCTGTGGTCTTGATCCTTTTATTTCAAGTAGCACTGCACATTTTAAAGTAAGCAGCACAGAAACCATAGTTACAGTGAGCATCACGTATGAATCATGTTTACGTTTAACTTTTATTTTACAAAAACCATCAATTGTATGCATTCTTTAATAGTAAACAAAAAAGCATTGCTAAAAGATCAATTTGTTTGTCCAATTTTATTTCAATTTGCTCAAAAGCACTTTCATCAAAAAATATTCTTTCATCCTATATTCCTTTATCTGTTTAAAACTTTCTTACATTGACTTCTTGTTAAGCTTTTTGCTACATGCTTTTGCTAAATGCTTTAAAAAACCCTTTTTTAACTTTTATTACTTTGTAATCTAATATATATATATAATAGTCGACCAAGTGGAATTTTCTTATTCTACCATTCAGAAAATCTCAGAAATTAGTTACATTCAAAAACAGTTAAGAAATTACAGTCATATAAATCTTATGTCCATACTGGCTATATTATGGCTGTGGTTGGAAACCACGTTTTCTCCTACAGTTTACTCACAAGGAGCAGGTGTCCACAATGCAAGCAGATAACCTCAAAATCTCTCCTTTTTCTGGCAAAACTTTGCTGATTTGAATTTGCCATCTGGCTGCCAATCACCACAATGCCATTCCTGCTCCTTCACCAAAATCTCTCAAATTATACTGTTCTATAACTAGGGAAAGGGGAAATTTCAAACAGAGGTAATAGGTAGCTTAGGCTTTAGTCTCACAGAACTCAGTGGTATCTAAGCTGTTAGCTGAACTCTTACATACTATTGATTTAACTACTTAAGAGCACCTTACTTTTTATGAAGTGTACCTAATTGACTTTGATGTCTGCATTTAGGAATGGATCTTGATAAGTGTGCATTAGTTTGCTGGGTATAAGTCTTCAACAAGGGAAATATCTGCTTTTTATATTGATTTCTTCTTAATGACTCTTAAAGAGTTGGTGTTTCTTGATTCAGCCTTGGTGTGTTGTGCTGGAGGAATGGTTTAAAATATTTAATTCAGTTGTCTTTATATGCCTTCCGGATCCACTGGAAGACTTGCCAGACCTATTTGAGAAATGTTTCTGTTTAGGAAATCCTAATCAGATACTTTTGGGGTGACTTAGCAGTGCAGTTGTTGACAGATGTGTTTTGGGCTTTTGCGTAGCAAAATAATGGTTTTGGTTAAGAAAAATTGCTTAGACAAGGCCATGGTTCCTTTCAGCATCAAACAAAAGACTGCAATCTGGATAATAAAGATCAGCAGAAATGACCACATGTGATTTCTAAGAACACACAGAGAGACAAAGAGACTAAATTTAAAAAGCCGAAGCAATTGCAGTAGGTTTTTCCTTATTGTCTATAAATATAGTCCACATCTCATCAATTTGTTTTCCATGCTAAATTTTGAGCTAGTATGTGTTCTACAGCAAAAACTCACCAAATGTCAAGTGCAGATTATAGGATTTTACATAATTATCTGCCCAGAAGGATAGCAGTGCTTATATTGCTTGATAAATATAAAAATAGTAGTCTCTTTCTCCTTCCTTGATTTTCTGACAAGTGTGATAATCCAAACCAATGTGTATCACCTAGCATTATGCTTCTTTATTTGTAGTCAGAAACTCAGTGGATTACTTGAGCAGTCCATTTGAAATATGTTCTTATAGAAGCCATGTTTTTTAGAAAGTAATTTCTTTTCAGTCATGTATGGTTCATCTTAACCACTTAATCCCTCCTCCAAACATTTGTGATAAACACTTTTAGCATATACCGGTAGTTTTAAAAAAAAGACCAATCATTTTCCAAAGGGTATGTATCAGAGATAGTTTGGGTGGAATAAAGAAATATTTGATAATTACAAGCTCCCAGAACAATTCCAGTTAAACAGAATCAGTCACCCAAATTGCTCTGTCATTCAATAATATGAAAAGCTCCTTGAGGGCATGGCAGAGATGTTTGTGGAATCACAAAGCTAAGGTTAATACTTTTTAAAATAATAATTATGTTAGATGTGCCTTTTTCAGAATATGGAATAAATTCAAACCTAGATTGTGTCTGAATAAACCTTTGCAATTCTCAGTACAAGAAGCATTTCATAGACAAGAAGTGATAAAATAGTTAACTTACAGTGTTGTACTAGAAATTGCTCAAGTGGTTTGTAAAATCAAATCAAGATCTGACATCAGAAGGATACGCTTGTCAATGGTTTTCTCNCAGTTGACAGTTGGAAGAGCCTGCCTTTTATATACCAGCAGCTCGCGCGCCTGGCTGCTACCGAGCTGTTATTCGTAACTGCGAGGACTTTCTTTCAGTATACAACAATTATGTACAGTATCATCCCCCACCCACCCACATTGTTGTTAGGAAAATGAAATGCTGGCTTACATATCAGCTGTTTATTACAATGGTGAAGCATAAAGCTCCTGACTGATAACTCATATGTTAGGAAATATAGACTTTATTTTTAATTAAGTACTGAATTATAAAAAGATTGAAGCCAAAATGTATAGTTGTGGTAGGTGACGGAACCCTGAAAGTGAAGAGTCCCTCAAAAGCTAGGACCCATGAAAATGTAGTCATTCTTGAGGCTGGAGAAAATCAAGGATATAACTGCAGAAATATATTATCAATAACTTTTTTTCCATTTTCATTATTCAAAGACACTGAAACTTTACTTTTGAAACATTTTAATTTTAGGTTTGGTGTGGTTTTTTCCAATATTTTTGATATCTCCCAATTCTTTGGGTTTGGACATGCTTCAAAGATAATATTGTAAAAGGTCTCAAACTCCAATGCTATATATTTTTACTTGAGAGTAAATGTTAATTTTAGGTTTACTTATAGAATTATGTCAACAAAAGTGTGTATAGTCAAGGCTATGGTTTTCCCAGTTGCAATGTATGGCTGTGAAAGTTGGACCATAAGAAAGACTGAGCGCCAAAGAATTGAGCCCTTTGAACTATGGTGCTGGAAAAGACTCTTGCGGGTCCCTTGGACTGCAAGGTGATCAAACCGGTAAGTCCTAGAGGAGATCAACCCTGACTGCTCTTTAGAAGGCCAGATCCTGAAAATGAAACTCAAATACTTTGGCCACCTAATGAGAAGGAAGGACTCACTGGAGAAGAACCTCATGCTGGGAAAGATGGAAGGCAAAAGAAGAAGGGGACAGCATAGAATAAGGTGGCTGGATGGAGTCACTGAAGCAGTAGGCATGAGCTTAAATGGACTCCAGAGGATGGTAGAGGATAGGAAGCCTGGAGGAATGTTGTCCATGGACTTGTGATGGGTCAGACATGACTTTGCAACTAACAACAACAACAAACAAACAAACAAACATACATACATACATACATACATACNTGTACATTCACACACACGGGCAGCGGACACGCAAACACACAAACACTGATTGATATCAATAATAAGAATAAAAAGTAAGGAAAATCTAAATCTTTCTGAGGTCTTGGAGAGTGAATCCATGAAGTAAAGGCAACAAAAGGCTTTCAGTTCTTCCTGTTTCAGACAGAACAGCCAATTGTTGGGTGTGGACGGGAACGTCTCATGCCGTACCTTAAAATGGGAGGCACTCCAAGGAGCGGATCAAGTCTAGTGCAACTATTGCTGCCTCTGAAAGATTACAGGCCTTATTTTTTTTCTCAGTTCCCTCAATCGTCAACTAGAGATTATTCCATAATAAGAAAATGAAATCAATGACCTCCTCCTATCAATTTCCAGTGTTGTATTAAGGCTAAGGCCCAGGTTACAATAATGTTCTTTCTGAATGTTTTTTCTACTGTAAGGGCACTACAGAAATATACGAAATAGAAATTCTGTATCTTTCCATACTTTTATTCTTATGTTATTCTGTTGCATTTTAAATGGTGCACAAAGAGATCACAGAAATAAAATGACCCCCTGATGGAAGCATGATTTTGGTGTGATTTCCTCTTTGCAGTTGATGGAGACCCACACTTCATCATAGCCGTACCGCAGAAAGAAGATGCTCTTTGTTTCAATATTAATGAGGAGCCCGGGGTAGTGTTAAATTTGATAAGAGATCCAGTAACAGGTGAGCCTTTCTTTTCTGAAACCGTGATTGTAAGTAAGGAAGATATTGCACTCCTAGATCAGTTCATTGTCTATCTAAATCCATTTGATTTCTGACCCTGTTTCCTTTGGATAAAGAATACAGATAGCATGTATCATCTTCTTTATGATGCCCAGGCTTTATAAATCCACTCACCATCAATATATCTCAAGACAGATTATATTCTTTACTTCTGAGTGTATTTTGTTAGTTCAGCATGGGTGTTTATTCGGGCCAACTTCTATACTCTGGATATCAACACTTTGAAAGTATTGTGAAAGATGTCAAAAGGTGAGTTCACTTCAAGAAATTTGTGGTGAATTTTGGGGCATCTAAACCAGATGATCATCATTGCAGATTATAAGAAAAGATGCTATTTTAAATCATGAAACATATCCAAATGCAGTAGATGTTGATTTTTTTTATTGAAAAGTTTCAGAATGTGATGTGTGTATTTTAGATTATATTACTTCTAGATGCTGGAATTACCAATAAATAGTCATGGCCCTTTGGAGAAGCTACTTTTCTATATATAACCCAAACTGTTATTCTTTGAAGAAATGAATATGTAACTATCCCCAATTAAAGGAGATTGAGAAAATTCAATTATTCTAAGAAGCATAATTCATTCCACTAAATATTTCAAGGAGAATTGGGGTGGAAGATGGGATCAATGGCTTTCTTTTCAGTATAAATACAATATTATAATCAGGGATAATATTAATTAAGATTAGGGGGGAAAGAACTAAACATTTCATTTACCCCGAGGGGTTGCCTTCCATAGTTTTTATACATCCAAGTTGACCAAACAGGATCTGCCTGCTGTCAGCAAAAAAATGTAGGCTCACATGGACTAGAACTGCCCCCAACTCCCAGGCCTCAGGCAACTACCAGGCCATAGGCTATTTGGAATTGGGCCGCTAGAATTGCTGACTGGAGCATGCGCATGCGTACACAGTACAACTTCTGCGAGAAACAGGATGGTGGGCACTCGTGCATATGTGTGCTGGCCCACACTCATACAAGTGCTGCATGCAAACATGTGCACTGGCCTACGTGGCCCAGATCTCCTCTATCCCCCAGCTGGGCCGCCAAGCCACAAAGATTGGGGCCGTTGGACTAGAAGATGAGCTTTTTCTGCAATAGCGCCTACTCTATTGAACATCTTCCCTTTGGATATTACAATGGCCTCAACTCTGTTAGTCTTCCATAAAGCTTTAAAGACCTGGCTATTCTCCCATGTCTGGGGCACTACATGCACTAAGGCCCCTGCCTCCTAGCTATACTGTTAACAGGCCAGATATCTCACTTTTGCATGTATTTCAAATCAGATGTTTTAATGTAGTTTATTGTTTAAACGGTTTTTATTGATTTTATTATTTTAAAAGGTTTAATATTTTAATTGCAATGTATGTTTTTGAATTATGAGCTGCCCAGAGTCATTGACTGAGCTGGGTGGCTATAGAAATCAAGTAAATAAATTTTAAGTGGAATCAATCCCAGTTTAACAAAAATATATAGTATGGAAAGTGTTCCAACTTCCCTTGGAAACCAGAAAAAGACATATTTTAAAAATATGCTACTTACACATAAGCCATCCCCTTAATATCACTTCTGGGCTTTAGGTATGACCGTCAATGGACAGCTTATTGGAGATAAAAAGAGTATCAACAATGTAGGACCACAGAACACGTATTTTGGAAAACTTGGGATTGTAACTATGAATCGGAATGTAAGGCTTGAAATAACAACTCAAAATATCATCCTTCAAAGTGGTGTAAAAAGGAGAGTATTCAGTTGGCTTGATGAAGTTACCTCACAAGAACCCGGGTGAGCTATTCATACTCCTAATATATAAAAGTGTGAATGGGTGATTTATAGCTTCCGTAATGCACTTCTCTTGGTCAACTCTATTAACAATGCATTCCCCCAACAGATTAATCCTGAAAGAAGGCTACCTTCACAAGAAGTTTGCCCAGTCCTTATGTAAATAAAGTGAGGTAGATTTAAATAAATCCAGCTACAGAGAAAGGCAACATGCTATACCTTCCTTTGCAAATATGAGGCATGCTTGATAAAAATAATGTTTTTATAAGTTTTTTACATTTTTATAAAAATTAAATGCAATCTTCATAAATATGAGTCAGTTGCCAAATGTGTGAATTTTGATCACATGACCTTGGGATCTATGAAACTATAGCTTCCAAAAGTGCGCCACATAAATCTATGTCCACATGTATTTTTAAAGGCTGGGAGATTTTTTGGGACTGTTTTCAGCTACAGTTGATAAACCTAATCTACAAGGTGGGTGAGTTGGCATTGTACAGATTTTTATGGACATTTATATTTTTGAAACTGAATTTTTATTGCAGTTATTAACTAGCACATTTATACTTTTTTCCTATCTTCTCTTGTGCATCTCTTGCATTCAAGTTGCTCTTTGTTTAAGATAAATGTTATATAATTAAGTTAATATGAGTATTTCAGAAAAAAATAGGGGAACTCTTGATACTTCTTGCACTTTCTTAATTGCTTTGGTATATGTGAGCAAAAAGTATTTTTCCCTATCCTTTAATAACATTGGAAATACAGGAAATAATAAAACATATATACTATGTATACTGCCCAGAGTCATGACGTGAGATGGGTGGATATACAAATGTGTTTAAATAAATAAATAAAACCATAGATAGCTATCCAGATCCAGATAATTGTATGGAAGCAAACTTCTGGATCTGGACTGACTTGCTATCTATAACAATTGTCTGTAAAGGCCAATGTTTACAAGTCAAAGAAGTTAGAAACAGGGATCAGCAACCTTAAACACTCAGAGCCATTTGGACCCGTTTCCCACAGAATCGACAACATTGGGACTCACAAAACCTGAGTGGGCCTGGCCAACTTGATGTCACTCAGTCACNCAAGAGCAGAGTTGAAATCCTCTCTGAAACAGCTGGAAAAGGTGTGGGTTGGAAGGAGAGGGAGAACTTGTTTCGGGAGCGTGGCAGGCCATGTTACTACCTACTCGTCCAAACCGGTCCAAACCAGCAGGAACCCACCTCTGATCTGGACTTAGGAGCCAATAGCTTCTACCATATAACAACTTAACTTATAGCCTTATATAACTTATATAACTAATAGCCAGATTGGATTATGGAGCAGAAGTCCTTTGTTGAAAGTTGAGAGTTTCCTCAAATAGCTTATTTAAAATAATTCTAGGCAAAGAATGCCTTGACAAAAATAGTGGAAGATTTAAAGGAAGAAGATCACTTCAATATCATCCTGTTTGAAAGTTCAGTTTCAAAATGGAAAGATCACTTAATTCAAGCTACTCCGGAGAATGTGAATCAATCAAAGGAATTTATTAGCGAAATAAATGCATGGGGAGGTAAGTAGAAAAAAAATGTTAAAGTTAAATTGCTACATTAGAATAAGGTTAAAAAAAATGGGTATATTAAAAAAAACTCCATGGAAAATATTTGAATCTCCATTTTCCAATGCTAAAAAAATTGAAACCCTGCTTTCACATTGTAGGAACAAATTTTAATGATGGTTTACTGACTGGCATTGAAATGCTAAATAAAGCTCATGAAACAAAATCTGTACCTGAAAGAAGTGCCTCTTTAGTTATCACCTTATCTGATGGGGAGGCCAATGTAGGTAAGTAGTCTCCTTGTTTTCACATAATCTTCTCCATTCTATATACCACAACCTCTGGTGATCATGTGTCATCTTTATACCTTCGTGTTGTTACAGAGGATTAGAAAGAAGATGTTTTGTGTTCTTACATCTCACAAGAGTATCCAAACCTTTTTCTCAGCTTTCTAAGATGTGGGAGGCAATTACTGGCAATTTAGAATAATGGACCTCCAAGAGGTTTCTTTCAGCAGAAATACATCTAGTTCTACCTCCAGTATCTATGAAGAATTTGTCTGTTTGCTATTTGGCACCTCCCTTCCTACCTCAAAAGGCTGAAAATTAATATTCATTGTGAGAGGCATTACAGGAGTCCTGGGAGAAGCTCCCAGAAATGTTCCCAATTACTGCTAAACTTCTGAAGCTGCTGCTGATTGATTGTCTATCACCAGTTTCAGAGTATTTTGAAATGGGGTGCGAAGGGGGGGATATCATTCAATACATCTAATAAACAACAGCAACAGTTTTTCCCCTTTTCCCCTGGAAAAGACAACGAGGTAGGAAAAATTAATTAGATTACAACATTATTCACTCTCTTCCAACCCATTAGGAAGAGAGTTTGAAGCTGAAAGTTAGGAAGTTGTAGAGCCTTGTATTAAAGTTACAGATTTGCTCTGCCCATAAACGTGTTTCAGATCATTGTACTATTTAACTGTGCTTTGTGATCCTTTCTGTACAGGTGTATCAAATCCCAGAGAAATTCAAGAAAATGCTAAGAATGCAACTAAAGGAAAACATCCTATATACAATCTTGGGTTTGGTTATGATGTCGACTATGGATTTTTAGAGAGAATAGCAACAGAAAACAATGGTGTGGCTCGCCGGATCTATGAAGACTCAGATGCAGCCTTGCAATTACAGGTAGAAGAATAAGCATATGAAAGGTTGATATTTATATGCATGATGAAATATTTCTTTGGCAGAGAAAGGACACTGAGTACAATTCTTAGGCAAGATGACATTAGAAGACAAAATTTATTTATTTTTTATTTAGTTCTCACTCTACCTAATAGGGAAGGCATCACAGAGACTAACCAGGTGCATCTTTTTCTGTAGTTTTTGGCTGGATCCTGACCCCAGCCACCATTTCCCCTTGTCTCTGGCCTCTTGCAAAAGAATCAGCACACTCCAGTGGGATGAAACTTTATCCCTTCTCAGGCAATTAACTACTATTAGCTGTGGTAGTGCATGGTTAGAATGCAGTACTGCAAGCTATTTCTGCTGACTGCCGACTGCCAGCAGTTTGACAGTTCAATTCCCATTGGCTCAAGGCTGACTCAGCCTTCCATCCTTCTTAGGTTGGTAAAATGAGGACTCAGATTGTTGGGGGAAATATACTGACTCTGTAAACCGCTTAGACTGGGCTGTAAAGTATTATGAAGAAGTATATAAATCTAAGTGCTGTTGCTTTTTCATTCCATATTATACCATATTTTCCTGGCAAAAATTAATAAAAAGTGAGAGGCTGAATAAAAAAAGCTAGTAAAAGTAGTTTGTTTAAATCTGTATCCTATTAAATATGTTGGTTTCTTTCCTTGAAAAAGCTGCTCACATTAGGAAAATGTACCTCATGAGAGCCTACATCAGGGAATATATATGTTGAATGAAAGTAGATTTTTTATTTTTAAAGAAGGGATTGCCTAGCAATCAATAGTTTTGCAAAATAGGAAAAGATCTCCATAAAGCCTTTGTATTAGTAAAAATTGTGAATGGAAAAAATTACACCTTATTCTGTGAGTAAAAAGAATTAAAACTCACCTGAAAACTGTTTTATTAACATGAACAGTAAACTAGTCCTACTTTTTGTACTGCACATGTTTAATGTTATTACTGCATCTAAACTCACATGGTTAATCCTCCATTTCATGGAATATATAGATTCCATATCTATACAAAATTGTAGATGCCAAAAAAGGACAAAATTTCTAACGACTCAAGACTTTCAATGACACTTCTGATTTCTAGAGTACTTTTCCAGGGTGATCTAGATTCAGATTACAGAACAGTTCTGTGGCTAAAAAAAGCAACCTCTCATTTCCAATATTTTGATTTTGAGAATAAATACCCTTTTAATGTTACAGTTTATTATAACCCTAAAATCTATTTTGTTTCCAGGGTTTTTATGATGAAGTAGCCAATCCTTTGCTTACTGAAGTGGAGTTAGGCTATAAGGAAAATGCCATCTCAGATTTGACTCAAAACAGTTTNGCTCTACAGAGAATCATTAAAACTGCCCAGAATATCACCGGGTGAGGGACCAGCCAGTGGTGGGATCAGCAACAGGGAGCCACAGCAGAGGGCCCAAAGAGCTCTGGAGTCACAGGTTGCAGACACCCAAGTTAGAAGGATAGGGTAAAATTGTCCTACATTCAGTCTAGTGCAGACCTGGGCACTTTATGGCTCCTTGGCCACTTCTGGCCCTTCTGTCTGTGTCTGCCCTGTGTACATTGCTTGTATTTTGAAGGCAACTGTTTGTTTGGTTTTTTTCAGTTTACATATCTGCATACATGCATGCCTACACACCTTCACAATTCTATTGGTTTCACCCTCCACAACAGTCCTTGTTTCTCCTGTGGCCCATTGGGAAAATTAATTGCCCAGCTCTGGTGTAGTGTATTACATACATTTTGATCCTGGCTAAAATTGAGAACAAATTCCTAGAGCTAGTAATAAGCATAATGTAATCACAGCAATTGTTTCAGGTGAATTTGCTTTGCTCTACATCAGCCTGCTTCATTGGTGAATGAATGAATAACTTCATCATTTAACAAGCTTGAGGGCCAGAATTGGTAGGAAGAATTTAATGCTAGGCTTCATTTAAACAATAGCCATGTGCTTACAGATGCCTTCTCCCGAAATTTCCATAATTTGAATCTCTGCATTATGCGTACTAATAATCACTTTTAACTGCTTGGTTTCTGTTTTCCAACTTAGTTTGACACTAATAATCAAACGAAAACGGAGCGTAGAGGTTTCGATGGACAATGGAGCAAAGTTTGTTGTTGTTCTACACCAAGTGTGGAAGAAACATCCACTCCACCGAGATTTCCTGGGATTTTACATGGCGGATAGTCACAGATTATCTGAACAAACCCATGGTTTACTAGGTAACACAAAGATGTGATTCTAAATAATTTTTTGGTTTTGTTTTTTCACTGCTTTTCTTTCATAAGGCATGTATTCTTCTGACATGGCATGAGGTTAAACTCCTGACTGAGTTAGCACGGGGTTAAAAAGACAGCAATATTTGCTTTTCACTTTTGTTTGTTTCTAAGTATGCAATATTTATTTCTGGATTGTATCACATGCCAAAATCGATTGTGTACAAAAGTTGGTGGGTTTGGGTGGTTTTTTTTTATTATTATTATAAGTAATGAGTTATTATGAGTACACCAACACATTCCATTCAATTCAACTCCTATGTCCAGATTACAGCACACTGCCTGACATAGATAGCAATAAATGCATCCTGTTGTATATTTATTGAAGATCAGAAAACATCAAAAAGAATAAACTGGCAGAATTGGAAAAAGACAGAAATGGGGAGAGAGAATTGGGTGAAGATACCGTCTCTTGAAAAAGGGAAATGAGCTAAGGAGCTGGAAGAGAGGGTGGGGGGGATACAAAAGAGTTACCTTATACAGGAGATGGGGAGCATAAAAATTTAATAAATTTAATAAAATAATGAGAAAGATAATGTATTATTAACAAAAAAACTATTTCTAAATAAAAATGTACAGAACTTCCCAAATTAACTGGAAACAATTTTCTAGGCAATTGGCATAGACAGTTTCAAAGTTAATGTTTTGGTTAACTAAAATTTAATCCTTTAATCTACAGAATAGAGATGAAAGATGAAATCCCCAATTTATTCCTTCCCTTTTTGGGACTTTGAAAGAAACAACTTGGTGTACAGGGATAACGTAGCTAACTCCTTTGCTTTTCTCCCCAATATTCCTTAATATAGGTGCAGAAAACCGCAACAACCTTTCTATACAAGTAACAAATAGAATTAGGAACTCAAAACGGTAGCTCTAAAAGTAGTTACACACACCTTATAGCCACACTTATCACTGCTGAATGCAAGAAGTAGCTCTTCTTATGATTTGCTCTTGAATGACTGACAACTGTTTAATCAGGTTTCTGTTTTGCTCCCAAATGACTGGCAACTGTTTAATAATTACTGTTGTTGCTGTCATGTTTATTTTAAGGGCAATTTTTCCACCCAATCGACTTCGATATACTTGAGGTCCATCCTGGATTGGATCCAGAAAAACCAGATGCCACCATGATTGTGAAAAATAAACAGCTGACAGTAACCAGGTAAAGAGAGACTGGCATTTTAGCTGACATTGACACACTTGCGTGAAATGGATTCCCTAAGCTCATTGCTTTCCATATTATATTGCAGGGGATGGCAGAAGGATTACATAGCTGATGTCCAGCATGGCACCAATATCCCTTGCTGGTTTATTCACAACAATGGAGACGGCCTTATTGATGGCAATCATACAGACTACATTGTTCCCAGCATATTTTGAAATAAAAAATAATAATTAAAAAGAGTGGGGATGATGATGGTGGTGGTGGTGGTGCTGGTGGCGGTGATGATGATGATGATGATAAAAACATTCATGCTATGGTAAGTGTTTGTGATAAAATATGAAGAAATATTTTAATAGTGGAGATTTAATTGTGTATCCAAATAACTGAAACTGATTTATTCATAATACAATTTGTATAACTTCTGCTGAGATTTAATTTCAATAAATTGGAAAACTTTGCCCATTTATTTTCTACTCACTATTCAGTGTCTCTAAGCAAATTTACATAACTAAACATTAAATATGGAAAACCCAGAAATTAATATAAAAATCTTTCCAAAAAGTGTGTGTGTTTGTGTGTGTCAGAGAGAGAGAGAGAGAGAGAGAGAGAGAGAGAGAGAGAGAGAGAGATCCAATAGCAGTTTATTCTAAAGAACATTTCTCATTTCAGGAATAATATTAATATGCAGAGATGCTTGAAATATCAAACCTCCAGTTTGCAGGAAAGGCCACTGTATTGGCATATTGGCAACTGTCACCAACCCATTGATGATAACTGCTCCAAATCCAGCTGCTTCAGATAGATATTAAATAGTACGGTGAACAAGATGGAATCTTACCAAATTTTCAAGACCGATTCCCAAGCAGTCAAGCAGAGAGTGGCAATATTATTTCCCGACAGTGCTCAGAGTAATAATAGCAGAACCGCCATTAATTATCATTGTATATCATTACACAGGTATCATAGGTACGAATAAGATGATCAAGAAGACTATATTATTTTCTATGCTCATTACAAATATGCATGGAAACTAGCAAGAGGCTTCCTAGAACACATTAGAAAATGAAAAAACAATTAAAATAAATTTGTGCTAAAATTCAGTGATACCAGAACTATCTAGTAAAGGGAAGTAAGATGCCTTAGCAATCTGAAAAAGCCACTCCACCACTTGAGACTCAGGAAGAAGTTATCCTTTCTGCTCTTTCAGATTATGGTGTAAGTCCCCTCTTTCACAGAAGCTTATGACAATGTACAGTAAGTCATCCTCATCTTCCCAGGACTCTCTATAGGTGACTATGTTTAGATGCTTCAGTTGTGACAATAGCTGGGCTTCCTGCTCTGCTGCTTTTCTCTCACGGCTTGAGGTGTGTTTAAGGTTCAGTCCTTTGATAACAGACTGCAGAAACAAAAAGAAGGTTTTATCTTCTTCTTTTTTTAAAAAAGGATATTACTGTAAATGAAAGAAATCTAAATATTGTAACTTAAGAATGAAGACAGAGGCTCTGGTTCGGTAACGCTGTAACCAATTTAATATAACAGTAACTATTAACAAAGTATCTAAGGAAGACCGGCTGTGAGCACGGTAGAAACAATTGTAACAAAGATTAGACCAGTAGTCTGTGGAGAAGAAGCAGCGAAGCAGTTCCAGGTAGACTGGTATGTTCGGCTGCCAGTTGAAGAATCAGTTGACAGTTGGAAGAGCCTGCCTTTATATACCAGCAGCTCGGCAACTGACAGGCGCGTCTGATTGGCTAAGACGCGCCTGGCTGCTACCGAGCTGTCATTCGTAACTGCGAGGACTTTCTTTCAGTATACAACACTAAATATCAACCATGTGGGGCTGTTTTGTACAAACACTATGAAAACTACCACATGAGTTGTTTAAAATAAAAAAATCCTCTCACCTGCAAAAGAAACACACATGAGAGAGGTAGAGAGGGATGCAAAAAGCAAATAAACTTGGAACTTTATAAAAAGTGATAGCAAGGTAGCCTGATAATAAAAGTGATATGTCAGCTTTGACAGAACTGTAGCTGTAGCATTTTCCACCAACCATTTTTTTTCACTTTCCAAGGAAAGCACATAATCCTTTACAAGTAGAAAATATAACACCTTAAAATAAATGTGACTCTGGGACCATTAATACACTGTTAAATCTCCATTCAAGGAAAGGGAAAATACTGTATTTTAGCCAAAGGCATTTCTCACCCAAAACAGACATATTCTCTCTAAGGACCAATAAAGGTTCCAAGAACATCTCTGAACTGCCAGTCTGATTCTTTAAACGTACAAGCTATGTCCCAAACCCCGAATGACATGTCTGCTGACATACAGAATCTTCATTTAATTCAGACTGCACTTCATTTAATAATAAAAATGACACTTGTTTAAAAATCTCCTACATTACATTTGGTATCCTTATTTTAAAAAGCTGCTTTAATATCAGTGTATCAAGGCAGACAATCCTCAAATGCAGTTTGAAATGTAGCTCAACATTTTTTCCTGATTCCCGAACACTTCAGCATACAGTATGTGTTGCCTCTCAAACGTCATGCTGGAAGTGTAAAATAATAAGGGGACACATAATGTGTAAAATAAAGAGTTAAGTAATAATAGAAGAATGAGCTGGAAGGGAGCTTAGAGGTCTTCTAGTCCAGCCCCTTGCTCAAGCAGGAGAACCTATACTATTTCTAGACTCTTCTTAAAAACATCCAATGATAGAACGCCCATGATTTCTGAAGACAAACTGGTTAATTGTCCTCACTGTTAGGAAATTTCTCAATTCCAGGTTGCTCTCTCTTTGATTAATTTCCAACCATTGTTTCTTGTCCTGCCCTGTAGCGATTTGGAGAATAATTTGACCCCCTCTCCTTTGTGGCAGCCCCTCAAATACTGCAATACTATCATGTCCCCCCTAATTCTTCTTTTATTTAGACTAGCCAAACCCAAATCCTGCAGCCGTTCTTCATATGTTTTAGTCTTCAGGCCTTTGAACACCATAATTGCTCTTCTCTGAACTTTTTCCAAAGTCTCAACATCTTTTTGTAGTATGGTGACCAAAATTGGTCATGGTATTTTTGAGACGGAATTTAGAATATAGAATAACAGAATTGGAAGGGAACTTGGTGGTCTTCAAGTCCAATACCCTGCTAAGGCAGGAAACCCTACACTACTTCAGACAAATGGTTTTCCAATCTCTTCCAATGTTGGAGCATTCAATTATTACTCTATTTGGTCAAAATTCATTTTAGAGTAAAGGAAAAAAACCCAAAACTGTATTAATCTCATATATTAAAATTTTATGAACGTGTGCAGTTTTTCATACAGCTTACCAATATAAACTTTCATGAACATATATACTGTAGTTTTGATTATAGTTTATCCAACATGCATTTGTGTAATCCAGCAGGCTTTAGAAATCACATATTTTCACCTGAAAAAACAACTGGAATAGTTCTCACAATCCACTCTAGTGCATCACTTTCTCCTTGTTTACAATCCTCCGGAGTTGAAGATCAGCAACTGTGTTGATTGTTCAAGATTATAAAGAAGCTTAACTTTCAAATTAGAGAGGGGGGGGAAAACAGATTTAAAACAGATTAGTGGAATTCACCTGACCAGTATTTCCTATCCCCCCCCCAACAGTTTTAATAATTGGAAAAGGGTATTCTACTACTTTCAATTATATCAAGTGAAGAAAGAGAATTGCCAAATGAAATACAATCTAAACTTCATTTCAGAAATCAGTGTATTACTATTATCTTTTTCATCTTTCCTATTACCTTTTACTATAGGTATCTTATAATTGTATTACTTTGTTTTTTGCAGATTTACTAAGAGCTTATGCACTGGAGACAAATTCCTTGCGTGTCTAATCACACTTGGCCAATAAAGAATATTGTATGTTATATATCAGCTACTGCATTACAAAACAAAGAGGACAAAAGAATAAAAACTTTTAAAAGAAAAGGCAAAGTGAAATCCAATAAAGGAATAATAGATTTACATAAAGTGTGCACTTAGCAATAGCACGTAGACTTATATACCGCTTCACAGTGCTTTACAGCTCTCTCTAAATGTTGTACAGAGTCAGCATATTGCCCTCAACAATCTGGGTCCTCATTTAACTGACTGCAGAAGGCCTGAAGGCTGAGTCAACCTTGAGGCAGTTAGAATTGAACTGCTGAATTGCAGTTGGCCGAAGTAGTCTGCAATACTGCATTCCAACCACTGTACCGCCACGGCTCTTGTGGTGGCGCTACCACATCCTGTTTCCAGAATCTTCAATGCAGATAGTATGTCTCTGGATTTCATCTGACAATTTTTGTTTGGTGATCAGCAATCCCTGTCAGTTCACTAGGCAGCTATAGTGCTCACACATACTGCACTCACAATTCCAAATAATCACCAGCCAGGAAGGTTGGAAAGACACCTGTCCTAATTTAAATGCATAAAAACATAATGACTTTAATCAAAATAGAAGTCTCCAGTGGGAAATTTATCCAGATGATCAAAGTGGTAGTTCAAGAAATCTCAAAATTTCTGACCTCATTGGTGAAACAGATGTGAAGTCTAATTTAAGATTTAATTTTAAAGGTGTTCTACATAGGACATAGTGGGTAAACTTGGGCTTGATAGATTAGAGGCTAAAATGTGCTTTTCTGGCCTTGGACTCTTTAACTTTCATGCATAAATTTCATCAACCATTTTCCAAAGATAAATATTTGCCATAGTTACTTCAGTGTTACTCTTTGACTACTTACAAAATTCACTACAAATAAAGTCCCTTCCAAATTGACGTTTTTCTTTTTCTTCCAACATGGGGAAGAGTATCCCACGTTACATTTTACTGGCCCTTATTCCTGCTCTTGTAACTTCAGATATTTTGATACACCCACTCAGAAACATTGAGGTATGTATGTAGCTAAATATATAAAGTTGCTTCTTTTTTTGCTCAGAATTTTTTTTAAAGCTTTGAACAGCAATCGCAAATCTACTGTCTCAACCTTTCAAGACTTCTTCAGCCTTCTGCCTGCCTGATTCAGGATATCTTTACTTACCAGTACGCTTAATTTGACTAAAATTCTAAAGTTCATGTTAACTGGTTGCCTATGAAATCTCATGCTTTGAGTTGCCTGGCTCATATGTGCTGCATTTGGATATGAAGCAGGGAAAGTCATGCTGGTCTATGACCTTAACAAAGATTTGAAACCAGTAAGGAGCTGTGGTCCCTTACTGTGCCTGTTAGCAAGTCCTGTGACTTCTTTGATGAGCTGCTGAGACATACCTTGAGGGGGGTTGTGTTGGACCCAGACTTAATTGGCTTTCTTTGGATCTATATGCTGTACATTGTTGTTGTGCACTTCAGCAATTTTTTTGGGGAAGACACTGAATTAAGAAAGAATAAATCAGATAAAGCAAGGAGTACTTGCATCTTTGTATGTGTGATTGTAAGGTGTTCATGGTGGTATATACATACATACATTTATACATACTTTACATTACATGAGAGAACTATCCACCTCACCTGTGTTTATATCTAACTTACTGTACCTAAAATTTTACTGAGGCAGCTCCACGGATATGTTTCTGAGAAATGGTAGAAAAACTCTATTAGGTAAAGGTATTTATCTTAGTTAGTATGGTCATTTATGGCATATTTTCCAGATGTTTCTTATTTTCTGTTCATGTAATTAATGTTTCTAAATTAGATAGGTTGGTAAACTGGTAGGGATTTGCTTGATAAGAACCCACCCTATGTCATACATGTTGATTATTCAGACTTCATTTTATGGAAACTCTCATTTATTGTGACGCTCTCACTTTAAATGAAGAGAAATGTGGAATAACATACAACTACTATGCAGCATATTTGGGAGGATACAGCACCTGTTGTTTGGCAATAATTAATCTTTTTTTTCACTCTTTGTTTGTAGAAGAGAAGTGCCACTGATGTGGTAAGTAACCTTTCATTTTGAATGCTGATCATTAAGTTTAGATGGCACATACGAAATACAAATATTTGCTCTTAGTAATATGTATCTGCCTTGCTGGGCTTCAAGAAATCATTTACTCAGCTCCAAAGTTGCATTTATTTCTTCAGAAATCAGTCCTCTTGTGTTCAGGAATGTTTATTTCTGAGCAAACGGCATATTTCATTCACTCTTGCAAAATACCCATCATGTGCAAGTGTGCAAAGGCCTCAATCACGCACTTTTATGAAGGAGTACCTCATTCATGGATTCAGGGGGCAAAAAATATATGTTTGCGTTCCCTCACAGAAACAAAGTAAAATGTTTTAGAAGTTTGTTCCTGTTTTCCTCCCCTATAAGAAATCATTTCTTAAAAACACAATACAAGAATTTGTGAAGATCAGAGATAAAAATCTAACCCACAGTTTCCCCCAAGATATAATTTTCTAGATATCGCCTTTAGATATCATTTTTAAAAAATAACAGAAATGGAAGAAGAAAATGATTGAGCTAAGTTTCAAATTAATTAACACTTCGTAAGTAAAAAAAAATTAATGAAATGTAATTAATATTAAAATAAATACTATGTACGAAGCGTGGTATTTGTGGAAGATCTTTGGGCTATGTCAAAGAAAAGTGTTTAAAATAAAGATTATATATTAGCAGCACATTTCTGTATAACCATGTGACTTTTTTATTCTCTAGCACACCCATGCCATAGAAATCTACTGGGTGAAAATTGACTGCAGTGTTACTTCCAGGTTTTCCCGTAACGTCATCACTAGTCGAGCTGTGAATCGTGCCAATGTGTCCAAGGAAGCTCAGTTTGATGTGGAGCTTCCTAAAACAGCCTTTATTACAAACTTTACATTGTATGTATCATTTTCTTTTTTCTCTATGCTTTGGAGATCAATCTAGCGATAATTAAGCCACTCAGATACTGTTAACAGAATAACTACCATGAATCACAGGGTTACAGAGGACATTGTAGCCACCTGATCCAATTATGTGTTCAAAATAGGAAATGGAAAACTAAGTCCTCCCTCATAACCTCTCCATTCTTACCAGTCTAGATAACTGATTCCATCATGGCATTATTCTTACCTTCATTTTTTTTAATGATCATCCAAAATATGGCCTCTTGTTGCATAAGCTCCTCTGAAATAGACTTGTCCTGTGAATAAAAATTGTTACCAAACTGCTCTGCAATAACCAGAAAAGGTCTTCCTTCATCTTTCTTCATTCAGTTTTCAGTCCTATAGAGGCAGCATTCTTTCCAGTCTCTTTGTTTTAGCTCTCAAATATCTCCTTTACTTGATGAACTGAAAGGCGGGGGGACCCAATAACTTGTCTGCACACATATTCAGACATCTGACGTATTCTTCAATAGGACAGTTGATGGTGTCACTTATCCTGGAATCATAAAGGAAAAAGAAGCTGCCCAAAAGCAATATCAACAAGCAGTTTCAAGAGGCGAGACTGCAGGTCTTGTGAAGTAAGTATGTGAGGCCAAACAGAATCTGTTTCCTTATTTCATTTCCTGTCCTAAGTATTTATTCAGCAGATGCTAAATAAATGAACAAAATGCAAAGGAAAGTATTAAATGGTGGGCTATATGTGAATGAGGAAATGTGATCATTGCTTGAATTTCATGAATCTTACTATGTTTAACATGTGAAGGGCTGCTGGAAGAAAAACAGAGAAATTCAGTGTTTCGGTCAACATTGCATCATCCAGCAAAGTTACTTTTCAATTGACTTATGAAGAACTCTTGAAAAGAAAATTAGGAAAATACGAGGTGTTTATCAAAGTAAACCCAAAGCAGCTTGTCAATAAATTCGAGGTACGATCATATGTATTGTCACTTTATCTTGTAGTAGTTTTTGGAAATTTGTGAATGATGCTCAGAACTATTAATTTAGAAAGAAATGTATAAACAAATATGAATTTAATTCTTTTTTAATGCTTTGTTTACAGTTTATATTACTGGTCTCTCTGATTTTTTTTCTCACTTGCTAATGTCAACATAATTTTTAATCAATATTACAGATTGAAGCAAACATCTTTGAGCCTCAAGGCATCAGTGAACTTGAAGTTGAAGGGACATTCCTCAGCAACGAACTGCTACCAGTTGTGAAAAAGTCTTTTTCAGGAAAAAAGGTACGTCTGGTAATAGAATCTTGAAGGGTGATTCATACATAGGTAATTCTTGCCTAATGACCTGCGGGATGGCAATGGGAACTACCAGGATTTTTGTTGCTATGCGTGTGGTGTAGCAGTGGGAATCCCAGTCACAATTACCCTTGTTAACTGAGGATTAACGATAATGAGTTGGAAGCATGGGTATCTGCCAAGATCATAGTCATCACATTTGCGACAGATTCCCCTGGTTGTAAGTAAGTACAGAAGTGGCCAATTGGATTCACAAGCATTAAGGAAAAATTACATTGGTGACATGGCTTATAACACTATCCAAAAGTAAAGAAAAGAAAGTATGACACCTTGAATATATTTCTTAAAAGCAATCTAGCTGTCAGGTTATTTTGTTCCAGTCAGCACTCTAAGTGAGACATGGCACAGGACAACCACAATCAAAGATACAGACACAGAATTATTTGAGGATACTTCGCAAAATTAAAAATAGTTCTCAAGCAATTCCCTATATCAGAGATAGGCAATATTTTCTTAGAATAGCTACACTTACAAAAAATAGGTGGGTCAGAATGAAAAAGTAAATGAAGGCTCAAAAAAGTAGATGGGGGTTAAACCCAAAAAATAATATTGAAAATCTTATCATGTCTAATTATCCCATTTTCAAAGTTTCTGCTTTACAGTATTTTTTTAAAGTTGAGGGAGATAGCTTATACCCAATAAAAAGAATTTGTGTACGGAGAAACAACAGTCAATGTGTATTTCTTGTTCTTGCATCCTGTATACAGACATAGATCAAGTCTGCTCCTTAAAAAAACATGTGATTCAGTCTTTCATTCCAAGCCATTCCAAGCCATTGCATCCAAACATTGAATGTTTGAATCCATGGACATTCTTCTGTAATTTGACCAAGTCTTTCTTTTTCAAGTTATTTGATATCATAGTGGCTTTTACATACAGTATATATGCCCTCCTTCATATGGGAAAGTGGTATTTACATATAAGGTAGGTATTGAGCCACATTCCTCTTGAAGCTGCTCTGAATTCTTTGAGGTTGAGACATTTAATAAACTAAATCAGACTACTGAAGAGTATTATTATGAAAGTGTGTTTTACCGCTGGTGCAAGGATTCCATTGTAATCTTTGCCATGTTTTGGGAAGTATCTCTTGGCAACCCATCACATCTTGTAGAATTAAACACTATATTGTCTTCTTCATAACACTAATTGTGAAGACCAATTTGTATCCAAAGATCATTCTCTGTTTCGGTACCTCTCTGAAAGTCTGTGGTTTTTAGCAAAACAAAATCAATATCTTTTCTCCAGCATGTAGGTATTTGTCCTCCCTCCATGTGGTGCCTTGTGGAAGAATCTAGTATATCTTCCTTTTGAGCTAGAAAATCATTTTGAAAGCATTGCTTTGTTGAGTATCTTATCGATGGTTGGGGTCTCAAGTGGCCTTTGTTTTTGCTTATGGCATCACTTCAATTTCTTCTTTATTATAAAAGTTCAATAATTTCTTCTTACTATGAAAGTTGCAGTATTGTTTTTCATCTTGGCATTTCTAAATGAAATCGCAATATTCAGTACTTGTCTTCATCAAAATATGCCTCACTGTATATTTTAATAGAATGCTGGGCATTATATATCTCTTGTGTCTATTATCTTCATATCTTAAGTATATTACATTACAGAGTGAAGAGGATAGTTATATGAGGCATTAAATATATACATACGCATTGAATTCCAACACTTAATGTGCATCACATTGGTTTGGTCTTATACCACCTTTCATCTTTGATTCATCTTTGTCTTTTATGCGTAGATTGTACTGGAAGTTGCAAACATTACTAATTCTTCCCAATATTACTACATGTACCAGTCAGCTCTAAATGAGACATGGCATAGAGCAACCACAATCAAAGATACAGGCACAAAATTATTTGAGAATACTTCACAAAAGTAAACTTAGTTCCCAAACATTTCCCTATATAAGGGATAGGCAATATTTATGTGGCAATATTTTATACCCCATGAAAATAATGTGTGTACAGAGAAACAGCAAAGTCAATGTGGATTTCTTTTTCTTCTATCTGGTGTATAGACAAGGATCAAGTTACATGTTTGAATCCATAGACACTCTTCTGAAACTTGAACAAGTCTTTCTTTTTCAAGTTATTTGATATCATAGTAGCTTTTACATATATATGCCTTTCTTCATATAGGAAAGTGGTCTTTACATATAGGTATTGAGCAACATTTCTCTTGAAGCTGTTCTGAGTTCTTTGAAATTGAGACATTTAATAAGCTAAACTAAACCAGTGAAGAATATTATGATGAAATGTGTTTCACTGCTGGTATAAAGATTCCATTGTAATAACCTTTGTTTCTGCTTATAGCAACACTTCAATTTCTTCTGTATTACGAAAGTTCAATAATTTATTCTTGCTATGAAAGCTGCACTATTGTTTTTCATCTTGACATTTCTAAATTAAATCGCAATATTCATCCTTGTCTTTATCAAAATATGTCCCAGTGTCTATTTTAATAGAATGCTAGGCATTATATATTTCTTGTGTCTATTAATATCTTCATATCTTAAGTATATTATATTGCAGAGTGAAGAGGATAGTTATATGAGGCATTAAATATATACATACACCTTGAATTCCAACACTTAATGTGCTTCACATTGGCTTCATCTTATACCACGATTCATCTTTGTCTTTTATGCATAGATTGTACTGGAAGTTGCAAACATTACTAATTCTTTCCAATATTACCTTGTTAGTCCATCATGGAGAATCATGTGTCTTGTCATTTGCATGAGATTCTGGTTTTCCTCTCTGCCACGTTGTTTTGTTGTGGGATGTTGGAAACTATTTTTTCATGTTTTATCCTTTGTCATTTCAGTTACTTCTCAACTTCCTTTCCTGTGTTTTTACTCCCAATATTAAGGGTGCAGTGTCTTAGGCTTTCTTTCAGATATGTTACTCACTCTTGCAAAAAAGGTTGTGTTTATTTTTACATAACTCTTTTCCTCTTTAAGAAAGTACATAAAAACTTTTCAAAAGTGATAGTCATTAGGTAATGAGAACTTTCCCTTACATTTTAGCTTTCCAAGTTCCTGAAAAGAATTCCTATGAACAGATAATGCATTCAGCAGTTTAAGCAATTAGCTTAATGACTTAAATGTAGTGTAGTTACATTGTTTAATGTAGCATCATAGACACTTGAGAGAAGTAGTTAATAGGTTCTGAAGTTCACACCACATTTCTTTTCCCA